TTAACATTAATAAGTTATCCACTAACCTCTAATTTATCAGTTGTTCTCCAGTTGATATTAATTATATCGCAAAACAAACCTTTTCAAATTTTAATTCACTTCAATAGTTCATTCAGTTAAACAAAAAATAAATTATCATCATGGGAAAATGGAAAACAAAATGTGAGCTAATATTTCATGTGAATAAGAAAAAAAGGTTAAGGCAAATCATTAAATTCAAAACACTCACGTAATAACAGTAAAATTGAAATCATTGTCTATACATTAATTCTATTTCATTTTAAGTGATTTAAATAGAATATTGCTTTTCTATAGTTGAATTTAAAACTTATTTAGTCATTAACAAAATAGAATCTAACACATAAACGTTGGTTTACATTGTTAACATCAAGATACTTACATCAGAGCACGACAGAGCAGTAGAATTAGTAGCATTATCGGTAGTAGTTGTAGTAGTAGAAGAGATTAAGCATAGAAGTGAACTTCTAGGATAGAAAAGAATGCGATAACTTACAAAATCACGATCTAAGCAAAGATAGAGAGTAAGTACATATGTACCATTATGATCAACACTTAACCATAATACAAGACATTACCAACTATTGGTTACGATAATGATACAAACTACAATCAAATGGTCAGAACCTACTAACACAACTCATTTCCATTATGATTTATTCGCTCCTAGCTTTCTTCGGACCTACATCTACAAATATATATATATATATATATATATATATATATATTACGTAAAAAAGCTTGTGACTTAAGGCTATATCGAGGCATTCCTCACAGGACGCACATATGCCAACATAAGACTGATCAATTGCAATCCTAAGGAACAATGGGAAGATACAGGTGAAACAACATCAAGTGAATTTACTTGGGCGTGTGTTTACCGAAATAATGGTTCAATACTGTGAATTAAAACAATTAATGAAAATCAAACATATAATTACACAAACTGAAACTGAGGTTTAGTGAAGAAAAATTAAATAGTTTACGAAGCGTAAGATACTCGAAGATATAGTTGAGTTGCGAAAAATTACAAAAAGTTTATGTTGGTGTATGTGATAATTATCATTAAATCAATAAATCGCACAAGTACATTAAACTGTGACCCATTTCACATTATTATCACATAAGTGAATATCACAAAGTGAAAAAACATACTGAAAACTCACCTGTAAAAACTAACATGTCCTCAATTTAAATCTAGTTTGGTAGACCAAACGATAGTGAGTGGCCTTACATCAGCTAGTCAAACAATTAAATATAATTGGATATCTTAAGTAGAGAATTCCATAAATCTTTTGCTAATATCGTTTCCTCTAACCCTGGGCAACTTAATCAGATCAAGATCTGCCTTAGATATAAATTCTCTCCATCATAACAATATCTTTTTGAAATCAAAATGGGTTAAGGATATTGTTTTGATAATAGTACATTGATTGTCAGTAGAAAATATTTCGACAATCAAACAATGTAGGCATGATCAATTGAAGATAACTCAGTCCTACTGAAGATCCATCAAGGATTGAATAGGTTGGTAATGACATATCAAGATGTGAAGATAAGTGTATCCAAAAATCATCGTTCCCCTCAACATTACATGTTTTTCTTGACGATACGTGCCAAACATTAAGGAGCCTGGTTCGGGCAGGCTCTCATGCTGACTGCTTTCAATCACCTAACATCTTGACACAGTGGACGTGATGTCGATTCGCTTCGACTAGTGACCTAGTTGTAACATAATAGTTAGGACTTGATCGATACTAAAGGACAAGATGAACACTTTAATTACCACTACTTAGTGATCAACCGATTGTAGAAGTAAAAGTTTAAGAACAGCATTTCACTCGGACTAAGAACATGACAACCATGAACATAGACTGATTTTACATATGTTAATTATGATGAGCACGACAAAGTACGTTTAAATAATTCCATGAACTACATATGGTGTCATGGAAAAATATGACAGATACAATTTCATCTTTGTTTCATCATCATGTAATAATTGTATTGTTTCAATGATTAAGATCATGAGTCAGTTGAAGCTAGGCCACCATGGAAAACCTGGAAGCACTGGACGGCCGTTTCGTCCTATTGTGGGACTCCTCAGCAGTGCGCATCCACGACCCCGCCCCCTGCGAAATTCGAACCCAGGACCTACTGGTTTCGCGCGTGAGCACTTAACCACTAGACCACTGAGCCGGCATCCAACGGTGTTAATGTCTAACTGATGAAACGGCCGTCCAGTGCTTCCAGGTTTTCCATGGTGGTCTAGCTTCAACTGACTCATGATCTTAATCATTGAAATTACTACAATCTCCACAAAACCCTTTCTGATAATTGTATTGTTGTTTAAGTTTTATTTTCAAAATCTGTATCTCATTATAGTGAAAAATGTCTTTATCCCGTCATTTCGCTCTCAAGTGGCCACGTTCATAAAACCACTGGCTCCTCGTGGCGGGGGTGTTGTTTACAAAATTGTGAGGACGGAAAGCAAATATCCAGCACTTTAACTGAGTTGGTGAATACGGAGGATGAACCTAGGGGAGATGAAAAACCCTTATTCCAAACCATTGGTGCACATGGGCCCCAGGATCCTAAGGAAACAAATGGTGTATGAAGCAATTATTGGTCACCGGTTACCATGGGCTGCATCTTCTTACGTTGCTCCATTGCCTTGCGTATTAGACCTTTAGGTCGAAGGCTCCGGGTATGACCTCCTAAGAAAACGACCTGTTTCGGTTTGGGCACCCGGACAGTATCTCAGCCCTCACATAAACCGAATGACTTATGTGGCGCACATCTGTATGATGCCTCCTTATACCAATATTTATGTGTTTAAATAAATAAATAGCCATTGTATAATTGGTATTGATTTTATTGTTAATTATAATGTATATACTTACATATATAATCACTAGCGTATGAAGAAATTAGTCTTTCAGCTTAATTGGCAATTTTGTTTTACTTCTAACTGATGAGATAACAGATGAGAAATAATCTATAGACTACTATACACTGCTTATTTTATCTGTATACTTTTTATTTTCCGTTATAACTGAAAAACAGTCTATAGAAAACCGTTAACTAATCCTTATGCTTGCAGTTTGATAAAGGAAGGTGAATATGACAGATTGTATAACAAAAATGTCTACTCATTTAATTTGATTTGGTAGAAATGTTTTGACACTCCTGAGTGAAATGTTATTTAGTTATATTATAACCATATTTTTAGATCATTTAAAAAATAATTATAAATACCATTAAGAACGAACTATGAACCTTCTAAAAGTGATGTTTTCTTTTGTAATGTTCTGTATTTTTGTGTTGTTATTATGAAGGCTATAGTCGATCAGTGTATGTATCCTGAGCGTATTGTCAGTTAGTTCGAAGTATTTTTTGGAGCTAGTTAGTTACTAGGAATGAAATCTGGGAAGCGCGTTCTGTTCTAGTTGGAAACAGTTGGCTGCATATACCAGTATATTATCGTTGATACTCATTATGTAACTTGAACTATGTACTATCGGTTTCAGACGTTAAAACGTTATCTACTGAGTTCATGTAGTTCCTGACAGGATGAAATACACGTTCTTAATTCCATAGCTGGTCACAATCCAATTTTTAATATTCAATGTCTTTTAGACAATTTCAAATATCCTATTATATTTTAGTTAGTTGGTCTGTTGTCAAAAAGTGATTTTCAGATAACCTTATCATCAATTTAAAGCTTATTAACTTGATTGTTCAGCATTCATTGACATTTTTATATATATGAATTTAACTACCATCATTAACTATAGTGTGAGCAGAAATAAAAAATAATTCACCATTTTGTGTTGTCTATGTTTAATTAAAAAGCTTCGCTGATAGATGTCATCGATCAGATTGCTTCATTAACTCTCTAAGGTTATGATCACAAGGAATAGGATACTTTCTTTCTGTCATTAAAATATTTACCCAACCGAATAAGTGTTTTCTTATAACAAACTACATTTAAAAAATTATTTCAGTAATTAGATGTGGTCATAGTAACTTACATCTCATTTTATTTACTTGAGATAGAGTAACCGAAATTATCATTCTGCAACGCAATTAATTAAGCTAAAATGTGAATTTTGGGAAAATACAATAGTAACTAAGTTTGTGGCAACGACTTTAAAATGTTACAGTTATACATATTTTCACACCAACAGTAAAATTTCACATGTAATTGACCATTCATCTTTTTGGCTTCTATTGTTTCTAGAGTCATGAAAATGTTGTGCAAACACTGTTGTTCAATTATCTTCATTGGTTTTTCTAGATTTATAGAAATACTATCTAAATTTACTCATCCCTCTTGCCACGCGTGTGTGATTTCCAACGATAAAATGTCATTATTTGTCAGTTGTTTGATTTTTCTAGTCAAGCCAGATCTTCTCCAGTATAAGTGGCACCTCCTTGACTTTATCATTACCCGAAAAACAAAAATCAGTAAATATTCCCTCCCACAATTTTGATGTCATCAGTCCGTTTAATTTTAGTACTCAATTCAGTTCTATAAAATACTTAGAAAAGACTGTTTAAAATTCAGAAAAAACTGACATGTAAATTTAAACACTAACTTAGTAAACTAATCGGTTTTACGCTGCTCAAACAAATTACCATATAGTCTAGGATAAAGTTTTTTAGTTTTAAAAACAAATGAGTTGTGACTTTCAATAGAATCCAAGAACTGTGTTTTATTTTATTTAACACCTACATGTCAGTTTTGGTGTCCAAATAGGGACTCAAACCCAGTATCTTCCACTTCAAATACTGACGTGTTATCTACTGAGTTGCTGAGTCCAAACAGATACTAACTTCTTCTAAAGGTATGAAGTCCGTATCTTTGTCGGGGATTTCTAATTTTAGTGCACTTCATTAAAAACTTATTTTAGAAAATATAATATAAATCAAAATTTATAACTTCTTTTCTATAAAACTACTTTTCTATTATTTTGTAGTATTATCCGGTGGTCCATTGTCATCAGAATATAAGCTGACACAATTTCATTTACATTGGGGATCTGGTAATAATTGGGGCTCTGAGCATATGATCAATGGGATAAGTTGTCCAGCTGAACTACATTGCGTATTTATTAATACTAAATATGCTACAATGGAAACCGCTATTACATATTCTGATGGATTATCAGTTGTCGGTATATTTTTTCAAGTTAGTTAAATTATGATTAGAAAAACAGTTTATTTTACTTCATATAATATCTTAAAAGGATGATTTATTGACCCGATGTTTGAAACACTTGAAATTAATCTTTATTAGATTTCAGATTTAGGTTCTGTTTGGTAGCTTATATGACGGAATGACCATATCCGGATAACGGATGAAAACCAGGAGGTAATAGGCATGTGTTTGGGACCAACTAGCAGTGCCCAACTAGATATTTACTCAGAATCGACCCCAGCATCATTGTAAGGGCTCGACGCCTAGATCATTGAGTTAAAAATGTATGATAATGGAAATGGACTACGTAGTCTAAATGTTGAGCGCTTATCACGATGCTTGGACATCTTGGGTTTGATTCACAGTGAGGTAGTGGATGTGTCTTCCTTTGAAGTCTCATACGAGGACGACATATCTGTTTAGTGTTACGTGCTATTAACTGGGTTGTCAAACAATAGTCAATTCGTGTTGTAAACTATAAAACTTAAACATCTTCACAAACCCCCTACACCCATTGTTTTCCATTTGTTTATCTATGACATAAACTTTGGCATAACATGACATTAAAAAAGTTGGCTATTAAGAAAGAAAGTGATAATATTGTGGGGAAAAACAGGAGGAAAAAATAGTAAAATCATTAACTAAGGAAACAACAAGAATATGCTTTAATAAAAAAATTTATCAAGACAAATCCCATTCAATTAAAAGTTTTATTTGCCATGTAACAAAAATCTACAGTAACGTTTTTATCGATCTCCATTCTGCGTTATGTCTGATAACGTCTCAATCCACGGAGATAAAAGATCTGTTAGAACCAAATGATGTTATCATGATAGACCAACATACATGATCGTTATTTAGCTATTTTTCAAAGTAATAAGTCATAAATTGACCAACTCTGTGTTTGTTTCATCCAGTTCAATCTCAGTCAATAATTAGTGGTTCGTGAGCTACAAAAAATAGGATTATATTTAGAAACCTCACTCTCAGTTTGATTATCTGGGTAGGAACGTTGGTTTTTACACAATTAAAGTCCAGATCTAAGCAGAATATGTATAAACCTGTAATTAAAAATTAAAAACACGAAGTTCAGTAAAGGAATCTCTTTTCAACGAATTTATTATCAAGCTGTACAATCGTATATATATGAAAATTGTTTGTCAAAGTACTAATTCCGTGAGGAAATTTGAACACGAATAACCAAGATGACATAATAGAAAGATTATAATACTAGATTACGTAATACGAATAACAACAATACATTTAGATTTAGTAAGTTAGTAACGAATCACAACGTGAATGTGGTAAGTTGAATAACCTTCACTAGTAGGAACTTATTTTCTGTATCCATAAAAAATAAGCTTCCGCGTCCGGTCGCCTCCATGTGCATCTACCAGTTCACCTGCTCTTGTGGAGCTAAGTATATTGACCGTAGCCAGCCCTCATTTTCAACTCGGATACGAGAACACGTCCCAGTTTGGTTCTACAAAGGTGAGAGGAAAGCAGTTAGGAGTTCTATACCTGAACACCTAATCGAATGTAATCATTCTACGGATCCACAGTTTGATTTTAAGATTGTATATATGATTCGTTCAAATCTACCTAGATTTCTTCGTACCCAACTCCTAAAAATAGCCGAAGCTCTGACCATCCATGAGCTCAAGCCATAACTATGCGCACAAAAGAACTACGTCCTATCGTTATCCTTACCTTGGCCTTAATTAATAATAATATTATTGTTATTACTGCATCCCCCTTTTACTTATGTTTTATATTCTCATTATTTTATTCATAATTGCCCATAATATCACTTTATTTACTTTTTGCACCTCTATGAACTTTAATGACATTTAATTATTGTAACAAAAACATTTTAATCATCTTACTATATTCACGTTATAATTCGTTATTAACTTACCAAATCTAAATCTATCGTTTATACGAATATTCGTGAAGATTAGAACGAATAGTTTGACAGAAATTTGGCGCCGAGTATAGAGAAGTCATTATATGTGAAAATTATATTTGACATAATCTCAGCGATTGAAATTTAAAATAATTCCAACGTTTCGTCCAGCTAACTCGTCTGGATGTCTTCAGGGTAGTAATCAAACTTAAAATCATCAAAGAAATATATAACTTTTTAACAGTAAAATTGTTAATTTTGATATGACTCAGAAAATTAACATTCTATTTGAGCCATATCAACAATAACTATTTAACTGTTAAAAAGCTATATATTTCTTTGATGATTTTAAGTTTGATTACTACCCTGAAGACGTCCAGACGAGTTAGCTGGACGAAACGTTGGAATTATTTTAAATTTCAATCGCTGAGATTATGTCAAATATAATAGTACTATTTATTTGATAAAATAAATTAGATTGGATTCTTGTTTAGAAAAGAACAACACTGAATAAAACAAATAGCAACGTTTACTATGGGTAAATATCTACCTTCAATAGACTAAACTTGGAGTTTATCATGTAAAACTTCATCGTCCTCGAAATTTTTTTGTAATGTTTTAAAACGAGAACTAGCAAAGTTAAGAGCGATTGTGGATAACACTTAAATCTACACCACATTTGAAGTAACTTTAAATCTCAAGCTATTAGCTATCTGTCCCACTTTTACATTAACGTAATGATTCCACAAATTTTCTCTCTTATATTTGTCTAAAGAACAAATATTTGGTGATTATTCTAATCTCAATTCATAGGAAATGTATTGAGACTGCTTCATGAAACTTATAAATTAAAACGACGTTCTAATGCTGGAGTGGACATTAACTTGGAAATGCTGGTGCATCAGGGTGACGAGTTCGAAATCGGATGAAACGCATGTGCTAGATACTTCTAGGCAGATTTCATCTACTCTTTATGAAACGAGATGACCTTGTGCAGATTTTAGGTACTTTGAAAACAAATTCCTGTCAATGACTGATATTAACTGTCGAACGTCTTAAAGCCGTGGAGTACTGAAAAAATATTGATCTGCAATACATCCACTAAATCATACAAAATTGAATCTAAGAGTTTCAGAATATGGGTAGGAAAAAATCTCTCCGAGCCACTTGATAGAAATCATCTATTTATGGTAAAGATAATCAAAAACATTAGCTATAAGTCCAGTCTTTAAGTAGTTTTTAATTCTTAGGTTTATAGATTCCTTATTAAATGAAGAATGTAAACGCTTTTTAATATGTTTTAAAAGTGATCTATAACACATGTTGTTACAAAGACTTTACTATACCTCAACGCTAACTAAGGCGTCAAAACGTGTTACTCTACTATTAATTCGGAATGATTACAATTGCTTTAATTGATTGTTACTAAATTTTATTGTAAATTACCTCATCAGGTGATGAAATTACTTTTACTGTTGAAAGTGTGTATAGGCCAACTACCATAAAACTTATTAAAATGGCTTAATTCAAAATTGAACAAATTTCTTAATTTTATGCTTTGGAAATATCTTCCACGTATGAAGAATTATTATAAAAGGTCAGCTAATGTGATCAGAAAGCCATCGTAACATTATAATTCCTTCGCTCAATCAGTTATCTTATGTGTTATAATGTTGAACTTCTAATATAGTATTGAAAATATAAAGGTAGAAATGATCATACTTGTTTGAATGGAACAAGTTGCTCATATGGATTTCATCAATTAATTGTGTCTTGAATAAAATTATCATTGTATATTAAGTGTTCTACTTGATTCGGAAAATTAACAAGAAATAATACGAAAAACGTATAATAGAAGTGCTCATCATTGACTAATATTCCAGATATATTATCTCAATACTATCTACGTGTCTTGGAATAAGAAAAAAAGAAATCAGCGAAGAAAATTTCCTTTCCGACGAAATCCTTTACTTAATGTGTACATTCGTATATATAGTTATACGGAAAATATATGCCTATAGGAGGATAGAAAAGCTTGCATCACAAAAATGGATTCGACTATTATCTAACCCCTTGATTAGTACGTAACCTCATTTGTTATTTATTCTCGAATCCATTTTTGTGATGCAATCTTTTCTATTCTCCTATAGATATATATTTTCCATATAACTATGTATACGAATGCACGGCTTAAGTAAAGGATTTCGTCGAAAAGAAAATTTTCTTTGCTGAATTCTCTTTTTCTTACTATCTACGTGTTTGTTCCACAATACCTAATCAATACTTCGAGGACCCTTAAGCGTAAAAATCCGTAACTTACTTACTTACTTACTTTCGCCTGTTACTCCTCGTGAAGGAGCATAGGCCGCTCACCAGCATTCTCCATCCAAACCTGTCCTGGGCAATCCTTTCCAGCTCATTCCAGTTCTTATTCGTCCCTTTCATATCCGCTTCTATTTCCCGACGTAATGTGTTCTTTGGCCTTCCTCTTTTCTGCTTTCCTTCAAGATTCCAAGTTAGCGCTTGCCTCGTAATGCAGTTTGATGATTTCCTCAATGTATGTCCTATCCATTTCCATCGTCTTTTCCTAATTTCCTCTTCAGCTAGAAGCTGGTTGGTTCTCTCCCACAGTAGGCTGTTGCTGATGGTATCCGGCCAATGGATGTTGAGTATCATGCGTAGACAGCTATTAATAAATACCTGTACCTTCTTGATGGTGGTTGTTGTAGTTCTCCAAGTTTCAGCTCCGTACAGTAGAACTGCCTTGACGTTCGTATTGAAGATTCTGACTTTGATATTGGTTGAAAGTTGTTTTGAGTTTCATATGTTCTTCAATTGAAGGAATGCTATACTTGCTTTGCCAATCCTCGCCTTAACGTCTGCATCTGAACCTCCTTGTTTATCGACGATGCTTCCCAGGTATGTGAAGGATTCCACATCTTCCAGAGTTTCACCATCAAGAGTGATTGGATTGCTGTTCTCCGTGTTGTATTTGAGGACCTTGGTTTTCCCTTTGTGAAGTTGATGCACAGTGACGAGTTCCACTCAAGTGATTGTTCGGCGATGATCCGTAATGTCGCAATCT